ACCAAAAGTAGTAGTAGCAGTGATATATAACCCTCCACCAAATGAGCGAAGACCAAGGCAAGAGTATGACAACAACAATATGGCAGTTAACACTATAATTGAGAAGGCAGCCTCTGCTGCCTGTAGAAATAGATCCCATCTGCTCATCATGGAGGACTTCAATTACGGAAAGATAGACTGGGAGAACGAGGAACCGCATGGACGAGAGGATACATGGAGAGTCAAACTAATGGAGGTGGCGACAAGAAACTTTCTAAGCCAACATGTCAGGGAACCCACTAGGATGAGAGGAAACGATGAACCAGCGAGACTCGACCTAGTCTTCACTCTGAATGACTCCGACATAAGGGAAATAGGTTTTGAGGCCCAGTAGGAATGAGCGAACACAGTGCACTGGTGTTTGAGTATCTGGTTGAAGAAGGATTATTGAACTCGAGGAGGGGGTACTGAAAACAAAAGGCTGGCATTCCGAAAGGGAAACTGAGGAGATAAGAAAATTCCTAACAGATATAACACGGGAAACAGAGCTCAGGGGAAAGACGGCCCAGGACATGATGGACTACATCACGCAGAAGTACAAGGAAGCAGCAAGCAAGTTTGTCCCAGTCCAAAAGGAAAACAATGAAATGAAGATGAGAAACCTATGGTTTAATCAGAGATGTAGGCTAGCTAAGCAGCCAAGTAAAAGGGCGTGGAGAAACTATATGAATAATAAGACACTTGAGAGCAGAGAAAGATACCAGAGTGCCAGGAATGAATATGTCAGGATGAGAAGAGAGGCAGAAAGACAATACGAAAATGACATCGCAAGCAAGGCAAAGACTCAACCTAAATTGCTGCATAGCCACATCAGGAGAAAAACAACAGTAAAGGAACAGGTAATGAAATTAAGGATAGGGCAGAAAGATTCTCAACAAACGACAAGGAAGTGTGTGAGGAACTGAATAAGAAATTCCAGGAGGTCTTCACCTTAGAGCAAGGAGAAATTCCAGAGATAAGAGAGGGAATAGTTAATCAGGAACCCCTAGAAGAGTTTGTGATTACCAGCGGGGAAGTAAGGAAGTTTTTACTAGAGTTGGATGTGACAAAGGCTATAGGTCCAGATGGAATCTCCCCTTGGATACTAAAGGAAGGAGCAGAAGCACTGTGCCTGCCACTCTCCATAGTGTATAACAAATCATTGGCAACAGGGAAACTGCCAGAAATTTTGAAAGCAGCTAATGTAGTCCCGATATACAGGAAAGGGTATAGACAGGAGGCACTGAACTACAGGCCAGTGTCCCTAACCTACATACCATGCAAGCTGATGGAGAAGATTGTGCGAAGAAAGCTAGTGGAACATCTGGAGCGAAAGAACTTTGTAACACAGCATCAACATGGGTCCAGGGATGGCAAGTCCTGCCTCACAGGGTTAATTGAATTCTACGACCAAGCAACAAAAATCAGGCAAGAAAGAGAGGGGTGGGCAGACTGCATATTTTTGGATTGCTAGAAAGCCATTGATACAGTACCACCCAAGAGGCTAGTGAAAAAGCTGGAGATGCAGGCTGGAGTGAAAGGGAAGGTACTCTATTGGATAAGGGAGTACCTAAGCAACAGAAGACAACGAGTCATTGTGAGGGGTGAGGTCTCAGATTGGCGAGACGTCACAAGTGGAGTCCCGCAGGGTTCAGTCCTTTGACCTATACTGTTCCTGATATATGTAAATGATCTCCCAGAGGGCATAGACTCTTTCTCTTAATGTTTGCTGATGATGCAAAAATTATGACGAGGACTGAAACAGAGGATGATAGTAGTAGGTTACAAGATGACCAAGACAGACTGAATGAAAGGTCCAACAAATGGCTACTAAAGTTCAGCCCGAGTAAATGCAAAGTAATGAAACTAGGCAGTGGAAACAGGAGGCTAGACACAGGATACAGAATAGGAGATGAAGTACTTCATGAAACAGACAGAGAGAAAGATCTAGGAGTTGATATCACACCAAACCTGTCTCCTGAAGCCCACATAAAAAGAATAACGTCTGCGGCATATGCGAGGCTGGCTAACATCAGAACGGCGTTCAGGAACCTGTGTAAGGAATCATTCAGAATCTTGTACACCACATATGTAAGACCAATCCTGGAGTATGCGGCACCAGCATGGAGCTCGTACCTTGTCAAGCACAAGACGAAGCTGGAAAAAGTCTAAGTGTATGCCACTAGACTTGTTCCAGAACTAAGAGGCATGAGTTACGAGTAAAGACTGCGGGAAATGCACCTTACGACACTGGAAGACAGAAAAGTAAACGGAGGCATGATCGCTATCTACAAATTCCTCAGGGGAATTGACAGGGTAAACAAGGATAAACTATTCAACACTGGTGGGACGCGAACAAAGGGACACAGGTGGAAACTGAGTACCCAAATGAGCCAAAGAGACGTTAGAAAGAACTTTTTCAGTGTCAGAGTGGTTGACAAATGGAATGCATTAGGCAGTGATGTGGTGGAGGCCGACTCCTTACACAGCTTCAAATGTGGATATGATAGAGCCCAGTAGGCCCAGGAATCTGTACATTAGTTGATTGACAGTTGAGAGGCGGGACCAAAGAGCCAAAGCTCAATCCCCGCAAGCACAACTATTTGAGTACAACTAGGTGAGTACACACGCACACATAAACTAGGGGACAAAGGTGGAAACTTAGTTCCCAAATGAGTCAAAGAGACATTAGAAATCATTTTTTTCAGTGTCATAGAACCTAACAAATGGAATGCATTAAGTAATGCTGTGGTGGAGGCAGAATCAATACTCAGTTTCAAATGTAGATTTGATAGTGTCCAATAGGCTCAATAATCGGTACGCCATTTGATTGACAGTTGGGAGGCGGGACTAAAAAGCCTAAGCTCAATTAACGCAAGCACAGCTTGGTGAGTAGAACGTGGTGAGTACACACACAAAAATACACACGCACATATACACTAAACGACAAAAATTAGGCAAGGAAGAGAAGGGTAGGGAGACTGCACATATTTAGATTACCAGAAAGTCTTTGACACTGTATCCAATAGGAGACTTGTGCATAAGCGGAGATGCAGGCAAGACTTAGAGGGAAAGTACTCCAATGAATAAGAGAGTACATAAGTAGCATAAGACAGCGAGTCACTGTTGTGGGTGAGATCTGAGAGTGGCGAGACGTCACTAGTGGAGTTCCGCAGCGTTCAGTCTTTGGAACTCTTCTAGTTTCGGTATATGTAAACGATCTCCAAGAAGGAACTGACTCGTTTTTCTCAATGTTTGTCGATAATGCAAAAATTATGGGGGAGGATTAAGACAGAAAGAAAGCAAAAGGCTACAAGATGACCCAGACAAACTGAAGGAATGTTCCAACAAATTTGAGCTACTGAAGTTCAGCTCAAGTAAATGTAAAGTTATGAAGCTCCTTTATGAAGTCCTTCACCAAACTGACAGAAAGATCTAGGAGTTGATATCACGTCAAACCTGTCATCTGAAGCCCACATCAAAAGAATATCATCACTGGCGTATACAAGGCTGGCTAACATCAAAACTGCCTTTAGAAATTTGTGTAAGAAATAATTTAGAACCTTGTATACAACATATATAAGACCAATCCTGGAGTATGCAACTCCAGCATGGAGTCCATACCTTGTCAAGCACAAGCCGAAGCAGGAGAAGGTTTAAACGAATGCCAGAAGTAAGAGATTTGAGTTACTAGGAAAGGCTGTGTGAATTGCACCTCACGTCGCTGGAAGACAGAAAAGTTAGTGAAGACAAGCTTATCACATACAAATTTTCAAGGGAATTGACAAGGTAGATAAAGATAATATATAATACGTGTGATACTCTCACAAGGGGACACAAGTGGAAACTGAGTACCCCAATGAGCGACAGAGACACTAGACAGAATTTGTTTAGTGTCAGAGTAGTTAATAAATGGAATGCACTGGGCAGTGACATGGAGGAGGGAGACGCTATACACAGCTTCATATATGAAAAAGTGAATACTCCTTGGACAGTATTGAGACAGTGTACATGCCTTGGACAGAAATGAGACAGTGTTTTCATCGGACAATACTGAGTCACGGTATTTTACGAGCTACCTCAAGGGGTCATTGGCAGAGTCTTTCGTATTCTGGATGATGAAACTTGTAATTACTTGAGTTACAAATATTAATCACCTTTCTAGGAAAAGAATACAATCTAGATATAACGCATATTAGACGATTACTGTGTACACACACATGCTCTATATCACGCATGCGCATGCTTAAGGACACATCGACTACTGAAAACTCTCATGCGGGTGAAGAACGGTTTTTTTTATCATATTTTTATTTTGAAATGCATTCTGTTTCTCCACTCTCCCGTGTGTCTCATCTTGTTTGCTATGTACCCTGGCATTCTGTGTCTCAGTCATGTCTACTCCTCACTCCAACGACACCCTGTCATGTCTGCTGAAGATCAGATGAACATGTCTAGTCAACTTTGTCCTCTCACGCCCTCTGTCAGTATGTTATTTCTTATATATTCTAGCTCCCAATTAAATTCTTCCTGTTATTGATTTGTCTTCATCGAGTGATCCGCCTGTTGAGTTTTTCAAGCTGTACCAACCAGTTGCTACCCCACAGCCCGGATCATCACACGTTGCTTCCTGAATACCACCTTCATCAACCTCCCTTCCCCAAGCAGGCGATGAGTCACAATAACGTGGCTGAAGAATGTTAACCAGACCACACACTAGAAGGTGAAGGGACGACGACGTTTCGGTCCGTCCTGGACCATTCTCAGGTCGATTGTCCTGGGTCATTCTCAAGACAGTCTATTTGAGAATGGTCCAGGACGGACCGAAAAGTCGTCGTCCCTTCACCTTCTGGTGTGTGGTCTGGTCAACCTCCCTTCCCCTAAACCTTCTCATGGGACCCTCGCGAGTGGCTGGGGTCACCTTGCAGCTGGAGGTGGTGCCCGGACGGCGTGCCCCGGGGAACTTGGCCTACGTCACTCACCATGGTCCTCCTGCAGGATACCTTGACAAGTGGTGCCAGTGAAGCCCGGGCGACAGGCGCAGAAGAAGAGATGAGCCTCTGGGACGATCCAACAGGTGCCACCGTTGTCACAGGGGTTGGGAGAGCACAGCTGTAGACATACATCTGCTTGAGTCCTTTGTCATCTGATATTAGTGCTATCCTGTATGCTACAACATACATCAGTTTATGTATTAATTGGTCACACTGCAAAAAAGGCGCAGTCACTGCAGTTAGTGAGAGATGTATATACTGTATTATGTATTAGAGAGAATTGAGTTCTGCTTGTAAATTAAAAAATGCCACGACCTGATATATTAATTACTAATATTACATTACAGGGAGCCAAAAAAAACTTGTAATTTTTCAAAAGTAATTAATTATAATAAATTGGCATGTGGGACATAATAGTGATCAAGAAAATAAAGCGAAAAAATAACCTGATTACATATGTAATTTTTTAAATGTATTTTATTGCATTTTCTCTCACACTAACAAGAAGGAACATAAATTATTTGGGAACTATTAATTCGAATTTCTGTTTTAATATTCGACATCAGTATTTCATTATCAAATTCTGATTACCCAAGACAGGGTATTGATGTTGCTGTAGAAGTTCAATAGGATTAATATGAATTAATCCTAAATAGGATTATGTTTTGGATTGCTAACAGTCAGTAAGACACATTTTATCCTTGCATCTTCATATGTGGTTATTGAGCAAAACATTTTAGCTTATATTTGTTCCAATTGAAATACTTTATAAAATAATAATATTTATCGTGAGGTCTTGAGAGTAATGTTTAGCAAACTGCCTCCAGACATGACACGTCTGTTCCTTCACGGCTGCTGATAACTGACTCACTGTTGTGACAGCACTTGATAACTGACTCACTGTTGTGACAGCACTTGATAACTGACTCACTGTTGTGACAGCACTTGATAACTGACTCACTGTTGTGACAGCACTTGATAACTGACTCACTGTTGTGACAGCACTTGATAACTGACTCACTGTTGTGACAGCACTTGATAACTGACTCACTGTTGTGACAGCACTTGATAACTGACTCACTGTTGTGACAGCACTTGATAACTGACTCACTGTTGTGACAGCACTTGATAACTGACTCACTGTTGTGACAACACTTGATAACTGACTCACTGTTGTGACAGCACTTGATAACTGACTCACTGTTGTGACAGCACTTGATAACTGACTCACTGTTGTGACAGCACTTGATAACTGACTCACTGTTGTGACAGCACTTGATAACTGACTCACTGTTGTGACAGCACTTGATAACTGACTCACTGTTGTGACAGCACTTGATAACTGACTCACTGTTGTGACAGCACTTGATAACTGACTCACTGTTGTGACAGCACTTGATAACTGACTCACTGTTGTGACAGCACTTGATAACTGACTCACTGTTGTGACAGCACTTGATAACTGACTCACTGTTGTGACAGCACTTGATAACTGACTCACTGTTGTGACAGCACTTGATAACTGACTCACTGTTGTGACAACACTTGATAACTGAGTCACTGTTGTGACAGCACTTGATAACTGACTCACTGTTGTGACAGCACTTGATAACTGACTCACTGTTGTGACAGCACTTGATAACTGACTCACTGTTGTGACAGCACTTGATAACTGAGTCACTGTTGTGACAGCACTTGATAACTGACTCACTGTTGTGACAACACTTGATAACTGACTCACTGTTGTGACAGCACTTGATAACTGAGTCACTATTGTGACAGCACTTGATAACTGACTCACTGTTGTGACAGCACTTGATAACTGAGTCACTGTTGTGACAGCACTTGATAACTGAGTCACTGTTGTGACAGCACTTGATAACTGAGTCACTGTTGTGACAGCACTTGATAACTGAGTCACTGTTGTGACAGCACTTGATAACTGACTCACTGTTGTGACAGCACTTGATAACTGAGTCACTGTTGTGACAGCACTTGATAACTGAGTCACTGTTGTGACAGCACTTGATAACTGAGTCACTGTTGTGACAGCACTTGATAACTGAGTCACTGTTGTGACAGCATCTAATACCTCTGTCATCTCAATATCTGCCTCATTTTGAGTATACAGCAAGTCCATTGCTGCTGGAGGATCCTCTCCCCTTACATGTGTGCGTGTGTGTGTGGGTGCGTGTGTGTGTGGGTGCGTGTGTGTGTGGGTGCGCACTCACATGCGTTACATAAAGAAAAAATTACTTCTTTGTGTAGGAGAAAATTGGCACAGACGGAGAATGGATTTTGAGTAGGGAGTGAGTGTATGTAGTTTTTTTTTCATTTTGCAGGGATATTCCTGCGCGAACCCTAAACCTCTGGCTGGCCCACTAAGTGTTACTTGTTTCTGTCTTACTTGAGACAGAAACAAGTAATTTTTTTTATTTTTATTTTTTTTTCTATGAGTATTTATGACTCTTATGTTCGCTTTAGTAAGATTATGCCTCATGTGTTTAGCAACTGCTCTGTTGAATCTAAGTTGAAATATATTATTGGGTTTGTAACTGTGCACTGTGTTAGATAATGTTCCAGTGGTCTGTCGGGCATTTCTCCACAGTGTTGACATTTCCTCTCATCTTCCGGAACCTGTAAGCCTATTTCCCATGCACATGGGTATCCAAGCCTGATGCGATGTAAGTGTACTTCTGTTGCTCTACTGCTCCCTTTCATCAAAATAAGCGGTTCATAGTTGGTCAAATTCTTGTACCAACCCGCAGATCCTGATGTTGCAACTGCTGTGTTGTGGTCACTGTACATCTTTTGCATTGCTCTATTTCGAATTACTTTCTTAATCTGTGATATGTAAATTTCTACATTTCTTCTCTTAGTTGCAAGTTTTGCTGTTTCGTCTGCAATGTCATATGTAATTTCCTATTATTCCCACATGACTTGACACCCAGTTGATAAGTACCTAACGGCCTTGACATTCGAGTATGTGATATGACATTAGTGATCAGATGGATGTCATCACGTATGTGTTCTTGTTGCAAGGTTGCAATGGCAGTTCTCGAATCTGTATGTATGATGACATGTTGTCGGTGTTCAGCAAGAGTATGTTCCAAAGCCTTTTGAATGGCTAGCATCTCTGTAAAGTCGAACACCCATTTGAGAGCCTCCAACTATTTACAGAGTTTCCAGCCTTAACTGCAGCTCCGGTTCTTGTCCCTGCTGGTCTACTGGTCCATTTGTGAGTATGTGAAGCTGTCAGATGCCAAGTTTGCTTCTATATGCATCTGTGCAATATTACGTAGCAAATGAGTATTAGTCTGGGTTTTTTCTTTCAAAAGCCATAATCTTAAAGTCTGCTGGCAGCGAATCCTAAGAGGCTTGCATAACAAAATCTGCATGTATTTCGTCGACACCCTTCTCAGTGACTGTATTTGTTATATCAAGTGTATTTATGATGATTATTGCACAATGAGTCCACCTGTTGCTGTTGGGGGCTCTTCTGTCCCTAGTTAGTGCTCCAGTGATTATATCTTTAAAAAGGAGTGATTCAAGGTCTGGACAATATCTTGGTCAGCATGCACGCTGCAATCCCTTTTACCCTTATTTTAATCGACGTTAGCTTGGGTTCTAGTCTTAGGCTCAGTATTTTAGTCCATCTGGGAGCCCCTGTTAATTGCATCATTTTGAAGAACCTCAACGTTTGCCCACTGACCAGGAGAAAGAGTGAGTAAGGCAGGCGCTGCATAATCAACTAGGGAACGAACGGCGTGTATGTAAAACATTCTTAACACTCTGTGTCCCGCTCCTAGACGGGGCCCTGTGATTGCTCTCATTATATTCAGTCGTGATTCTGCTTTCTCCTTCAGATATTGAATTTACTTGTTGAATGTCATTTTAGAAACTATCCACACTCCGAGATATTGATATTGTGTAACCCACTGAAGGTTAATGTCTTGAATGCGTAGGTGCCTGTCTAGAGTGTTGCCGCCTAGTTTCATTGCCTTAGACTTCTGTGCAGATATTTTTAGCCCTAAAATGCTGCATTCAGATGTTACTTTATCTAACGCCTCTTTTGCTTTATTTAGAAGTGAAGGACCTGTAATGACTAATGCTATATCAACAGCATAGCTTAGCAATTTAACCCCCTTCTGCAAATGTCATGGTAACGAGGTTTTCCATAAGGATGTTAAAAAGATCAGGACTGAGGACTCCTCCTTGTGGAGTCCCATTCTCGTGCAAGTGGTAGTCCGACACTTGTCCTTGCAACTTTACTCTGGCATACCTGTGACTTGGGTAATCTTGAATCCATGCTAGCATATTTCCCTTTACGCCTTTTTTACTAAGGTGTGCAAAATTGCTTACGGGATTGCAAGTTCGAATGCTCTTCTAGATCAAGGAAGATCACTATAGCTGGACCTGAGTTAACTGTTCCTAGTAATGTTGCTATGCAGTTAGCAGTACCTACTCCTCTAGTGAAGCCAAATATGTGCGTATGCAGGTCTCCAGTCTTCCACAGTAGCCTATTTAAGACCATCCGTTCTGCAGCTTTAATGAAATGGGCCTGTAATTGCCAGGTTTTTTCGGCTTTAGAATCGGAATGATGTCTGCTTTCTTCTTCCAAGAGGTCAGTAGTGTGCCTTGCTGCCAAGATGCATTGCTAACGTTCAGTATCCCGTGTCTCCAGCAGGACCTGCGTGTGCGACCATTGAGTATGCAATGCTATCAGTACCTGGTACAGTGTCCTTACCACCTTTTTTGGCTCTGATTAGTTCTTGTTTGGTGAAGGGACAGTCACATTCGTCATTTATAGCTATGCTCTCATGAACAGCCATCAACCTCTCTTGTTTTAATTGTTCTTGCTGCCTTTTGATCATTGCAGGAAGCTAATATAAAGCTGCTCTTTCTGCAAATTGGAGAGCAAGTCTTTCAGCCTCCTGCAATGGTTGAATACATGCCTGTGGTCGAGCTGGTCGACCTGATATGGTTTTAATCTGACCCCATATCTTGCCAAAACTACTATGGTCATTTAGATTTTGACATTGACACCACTCAAACCATCTTGCCTCATTTATCTCTCTAGAAATTCGTCTTGTATCACATATCACCGCTCTTAGCAGAGTTCTTCCTTCTGGTGTGGAGTTTCTCTTTAGATGTTTTCTGAAGATGTCGACTCTGCGGTTTTATTCTTTAGCTTCATTACTATAGAACCAATAGTTCTTTCGTTTTGTGTTTCCTGGGATTATGATTGAAATAACTTTGCAACTCCTCTTCGGAATCGACGTCTATATTCTCCACCTCGCAAGTCGTGTCGCTGCAAATCGGACTGCACTGATTGCTCATGGTCATCTGCTGCATTGTTGCAATCTGTGCATAACTGTGGCCCATTGCTTTGCTGTTGGTATTGCTGCACGTCGGACTGCATTGATTGCTCGTGGCCATTTCTTGTTTTGTCGGAATCTGTGCATCTCTGCCATGGAGTATTTCGTTGTTGATGTTGCTGCATATTGGGCAGCATTGATTGCTCATGCCTGCCTCGTGTGTTGTTGGAACCTGTGCATCTCTGCTGTTCAATACTACTTTGTTGGTGTTGTTGCATATCAGACTGCATTGGCTGTTAATGTCTGTCTCTTGTGTTGTAAGATTCTGTTGATCTTGAGTGGTCACTGCTTCTTGCAGTTGCTTTTGTGAATGTTTATGTTCTGGTGTCTTGACTACCCGACTGTTGTTGATAGTCTGTATGTCCATGTTGCGTTGTTTGTCCTCTTGTGCTTCGTCTTGTCTCAGACTGTCTATTTCTTGTGTAACTGTGGTCTGCTGCACGATCTTGTCCATTATCACAGAAGTGGTTTCTTGAGTCTGTTGTTGTGAGGCGTTCTGCGTCATCTGTAGGCAATTGATCATGGGCTCTGCCATGATCTTAACGATATTTTCAGTTGAACCTCAGTTAAACGGTAAATTTTGCAAAACCTCTGGACCTCGGTAAAACTCGGTAAAAATTTAAAACTGGCACATGTCCCGTGACGGTCACCAGAACCTGACGTGTCGCTGCCTTGTCTACTTTTGTGCGGCATCGTTCCGGATTCAGGATTTGCTTGTGTTCTAGCACTGGATCCAGGGGAAAGTCGATTGGGTATCCCAAAAGCACGACTCGTGTGCGTCTTTCTGAAGGGTCCAGCTTTTCCAAGCATACAGGTTTCCCTTGCAGGACTCTTACTTTCTCTAAGTAATTTGCAGTCTGTTGGTCTTGTGGTGTCATTATTAAAAATATCGGTCAGGGATATGGGGAGAAGAGGGCGGTATGACAGTTTGGGTGCCTGCGTACTGCGTTGCGCAGAATACCAGTCAGCTGGATAACAGCTTATCAACAACGTTGTTTGTTCATCAGTTGTAGACAAAATCGGTATTGTATCTCTCCAAACAAGATATTCTCTGGGTTTTTGAGTATTGATGTGTTCTTCCTCACAAAACCGCAATGATTTGAGCTTATGGGTGCTCAGAATCTTAAGTTTTCCAGAGAATAACACCGTGTGTGGGCAGCTAGAATGGCGCCGGCAGCGAGTCTTGTATGTTGGTAAGTTCATAGGGGACGTCTTAGATAACAATTACAGAATACCCCCAAGAAACTGTGAACGATATACAGCGAGACAAAACTATTGCGACACAGTCAAGATCTGCAGAACTTGCAATAACTTTCACTCAGCGTCTTGTCGCCACGGGACCAGAAATGCCTCACTCAGAATTTTATAGACCTTAAATATCTGGAATTATCTTTGTTTATTTAGAATAAAAATTAAATTCTTGAATATTTAGAATATAGAGCTATTTAAAATCCTTAAAGTTAAACAGTTGTTTAGTATATTCCATTCATGGTATACACATGACAGGTCCAGGAGCTAAAGCCCATTTTTACTTCTAGCTCTATGTTACAGTGGTAACAATATGATTTTAGGTAATATGTCATTTTGGAAAAAAATTATGAACATTTCTTCTATATTTACTTACAAAATGGTGTAAGGACTTTCTTTTCTAAGTAATTCTTTTCGCAAAAGTTACATCAACATATTGTAGTCTCTCAGAATTTTGCTTGTGACGTATGCATGATGAGGAGCAGAGATGGGCCTTAGCCACTCAGGTCTTCTTGAGTGTCTGGTCATATATGGATTGACTGTTGGCCATCTCTCTAACCTGTGTAACAACCACTTACCAATTTACGACGACAAACACTTACGACAATCATTGACCTATTTACGGTAACCACTTACCTGTTTGTATATACAACCTGCCTGTGTGTGTGTGTGTGTGTGTGTGTGTGTGTGTGTGTGTGTGTGTGAGTGTGTGTGTGTGTGTGCACCTGGTCAGAGCAAGCACACACACGTGCCCACAACCCACCTGTGTGTGTGTGTGTGTGTGTGTGTGTGTGTGTGTGTGTGTGTGTGTGTGTGTGCACCTGGTCAGAGCAAGCACACACACGTGCCCACAACCCACCTGTGTGTGGGGGCCGCAGTTGTCCTCGCTGAACCCATTAAGACACTCGCACGAGTACGTGTTGCCCTTGTCCACACACACGCGGCTCGGGGAGCACGGGTCCGGGTTGCATAAGTCGTACTGAAAGCACGGGAAGGATACGTTAGTGACCATATATTGCTGACCCCGGGTGGCGCCACTCCAGCAGTAGACTGGTGGTGGGTCGAGGTCACTATAACATACTCGGGAAGGATAGACACTGCACTAGTCTATCAGACTGTGATGGAATGTTACTGGCAGGCATCAAACAGCAGCGGAAATATTTATGAAATATTTAGCAGCGTTACAGTGGTAACTGTAACTCCCCCAGGAATGTGCTGATAACGTGTTCATTGTTTCAGCTGCGGTGGGTGAAGGGTTAACATAGCTTGGTGTTATTATGTAACTAATGAGGCTGTGTCTGGAACTTTCTCACATTTTTCATCTCTACTCCTCCCCTTTTCCATCTCTTATCTCTCTCTTTCCCAGTTCTCTTCTCATTTCCCACTTCCCAACTGTCTCCCCCTATCCTCGCTATGCCTCTCCCTCCTCTCCTTCTCTCTCTCTCACTCCACGATCGCCCACACTCTCCACCTTTCTCCTCCACTCTCCCCTCTCCACCCCACCTAAAACTTCTCTCTCCAAGCTCCCTGCAAATCTTCCTTCTCTCTCACAGCTCGTTCCCTCTTCCCCCTCTTGACCTGTCTCCCCCCCCCCTCTTTCCTTTTAAATATCCCCTTTCTTCTCTCTCTCTCTCTCTCTCTCTCTCTCTCTCTCTCTCTCTCTCTCTCTCTCTCTCTCTCTCTCTCTCTCTCTCTCTCTCTCTCTCTCTGTGACTGTCTCTGTTTCTGTCTTTTTGCTAAGTATCTTTCCAATTGCATCTTTGTCTCTCACACAAATAATATTATAGTCTACCCTTGGAGTATCCTGTTTTATGCAACGCAATGAAATTCTCATCCCAGGTCAACATGGATTAAGAGCGGTAAGATGCAGCATTTCGCAACTGCTCGACCAATGACAAAAAAAGCATTAGAAGGGAGCATTACGGAATGCTTACGGAAGCATTAGAAAAAAATGCAAATGCTGTTTATTCACAGACTGTGCAAAGGCATTTGACAAGTGTGACTGTGGAGTGATATCGATATTTTGAACAAAAAAACTGAAGACGAAAATCTTTTAATTACCAGACCAGTATGTAAAGATACTTTAGATATTGTTTAAAGTATGTAATACATTGGGAAGGATCTTAGTAGGCCTATACTTAGACATACTTATCCGCAAATTAGTTTTCAGTTCGTGTTTACTAACAATAACACCATTGGAAGCTTTATAACAGGTAGAGATGCACTACCCTTTGAACTCAGATCTGATGTTGTTTACATGCTTATTTTAGTTTGTTTACAGGGATATTCCTGCGCGGGCCCTAAGCCTCTGGCTGGGTTTCTGCATAGTGGACTTTCCGATATGTGGGAAATACTTCATGGAACTTTATACAATATATTTGTGAACACATGGGTATCTTACCGTACTGGTCTGCCCCTTAGGCAATATCTTGAGGTTATCTTGAGATGATTTCGGGTCTTAGCGTCCCCGCGGTCCGGTCCTCGACCAGGCTTTTGTTACACCCCCCTCCCCCAGGAAGCAGCCCGTAGCAGCTGTCTAATTCCCAGGTAGGTATTTACTGCTAGGTGAACAGGGGGCATCAGTGGTGAAAGAAACTGTTGATTTGTTTCCGCCTCCACCGGAGATCGAACCCGGAAGCTTAGGACTATGAATCCCAAGCGTTGTCTACTCAGCTGTCAGGCCCCGTGCGCATCCTCAGGCAATGGCAATGTGCATCCTCTGATATTAGAGATCACAGCCAGGATAAAGACCTATCTTTCACTCCGGCGATTTTACTGTTAGGTCTTGTAGTTCGTCTCGCCTTCAACTCAACATTTTAGAAAGTGTCTCGAGTTTTTAAACGGCACCCGAGTCGGAGCTCGGAGTAAACAGCTGGGAGTAAACAGCTGGGAGTAAACAGCTGGGAGTAAACAGCTGGGAGTAAACAGCTGGGAATAAACAGCTGGAAGTAAACAGCTGGGAGTAAACAGCTGGGAGTAAACAGCTGGGAATAAACAGCTGGAAGTAAACAGCTGGGAGTAAACAGCTGGGAGTAAACAGCTGGGAGTAAACAGCTCGGAATAAACAGCTGGGAGTAAACAGCTGGGAGTAAACAGCTGGGAGTAAACAGCTGGGAGTAAACAGCTGGGAATAAACAGCTGGGAGTAAACAGCTGGGAGTAAACAGCTGGGAATAAACAGCTGGGAGTAAACAGCTGGGAGTAAACAGCTGGGAATAAACAGCTGGGAGTAAACAGCTGGGAGTAAACAGCTGGGAGTAAACAGCTGGGAGTAAACAGCTGGGAGTAAACAGCTGGGAGTAAACAGCTGGGAGTAAACAGCTGGGAATAAACAGCTCGGAGTAAACAGCTGGGAGTAAACAGCTGGAAGTAAACAGCTGGGAGTAAACAGCTGGGAGTAAACAGCTGGGAGTAAACAGCTGGGAGTAAACAGCTCGGAGTAAACAGCTCGGAGTAAACAGCTCGGAGTAAACAGCTCGGAGTAAACAGCTGGGAGTAAACAGCTGGGAGTAAACAGCTGGGAGTAAACAGCTGGGAGTAAACAGCTGGAAGTAAACAGCTGGGAGTAAACAGCTGGAAGTAAACAGCTGGGAGTAAACAGCTGGGAATTAACAGCTGGGAATAAACAGCTGGGAGTAAACAGCTGGGAATAAACAGCTGGGAGTAAACAGCTGGGAATAAACAGCTGGGAATAAACAGCTGGAAGTAAACAGCTCGGAGTAAACAGCTGGGAGTAAACAGCTGAAAGTAAACAGCTGGGAGTAAACAGCTGGGAGTAAACAGCTGGGAGTAAACAGCTGGGAGTAAACAGCTGGAAGTAAACAGCTGGGAGTAAACAGCTGGAAGTAAACAGCTGGGAGTAAACAGCTGGGAGTAAACAGCTGGGAGTAAACAGCTGGAAGTAAACAGCTGGGAGTAAACAGCTGGGAGTAAACAGCTGGGAATAAACAGCTGGGAATAAACAGCTGGGAATTAACAGCTGGGAATAAACAGCTGGGAGTAAACAGCTGGGAATAAACAGCTGGGAATAAACAGCTGGGAATAAACAGCTGGGAGTAAACAGCTGGGAGTAAACAGCTGGGAATAAACAGCTGGGAATAAACAGCTGGGAATAAACAGCTGGGAGTAAACAGCTGGGAGTAAACAGCTGGGAATAAACAGCTGGGAATAAACAGCTGGGAATAAACAGCTGGGAGTAAACAGCTCGGAATAAACAGCTGGGAGTAAACAGCTGGGAATAAACAGCTGGGAGTAAACAGCTGGGAATAAACAGCTCGGAGCAAACAGCTGGGAGTAAACAGCTGGAAGTAAACAGCTGGGAGTAAACAGCTGGGAATAAACAGCTGGGAGTAAACAGCTGGGAATAAACAGCTCGGAGCAAACAGCTGGGAGTAAACAGCTGGAAGTAAACAGCTGGGAGTAAACAGCTGGGAATAAACAGCTGGGAATAAACAGCTGGGAATAAACAGCTGGGAATAAACAGCTGGGAGTAAACAGCTCGGAATAAACAGCTGGGAGTAAACAGCTGGGAATAAACAGCTGGGAGTAAACAGCTGGGAATAAACAGCTCGGAGCAAACAGCTGGGAGTAAACAGCTGGAAGTAAACAGCTGGGAGTAAACAGCTGGGAATAAACAGCTGGGAGTAAACAGCTGGGAATAAACAGCTGGGAGTAAACAGCTGGGAGTAAACAGCTGGGAATAAACAGCTGGGAGTAAACAGCTGGGAGTAAACAGCTGGGAATAAACAGCTGGGAGTAAACAACTGGGAATAAACAGCTGGGAGTAAACAACTGGGAATAAACAGCTGGGAGTCGTCGATTAATTTTTACTCACTAATTGTCATCATCTTTTTAGCAGGTGTTGAGTTCTTTAATTTATTCTTGTTCTTGTGTATATATATATCCTGTTCTTGTATTTTATATATAACTTCGATTTAAGACTTTTGTATTTTTATTGAGTATATATTTGTATATATACTCAATATATATATATATATATATTTGTTTAGCTTATTTTGCAATGAAAATATTCTCATTTTAGCACTGATGATGGAGTTTGAGACTTCAAAACGTCTTGAAACACATTCAAGATGTAAACACATTCAAGATGTAAACACATTCAAGATGTAAACACATTCAAGATGTAAACACATTCAAGATGTAAACACATTCAAGATGTAAACACATTCAAGATGTAAACACATTCAAGATGTAAACACATTCAAGATGTAAACACATTCAAGATGTAAACACATTCAAGATGTAAACACATTCAAGATGTAAACACATTCAAGATGTAAACACATTCAAGATGTAAACACATTCAAGATGTAAACACATTCAAGATGTAAACACATTCAAGATGTAAACACATTCAAGATGTAAACACATTTAAGATGTAAACACATTCAAGATGTAAGTCTTTTCTCACATCATACTGTTTACTGACCCCACACACACGTGTGCAAGAGAACCTCATCCACTGCACTATGAGACTAGCAGTAATAGGAAAGGTTTCAGAGGTTAACCAGCCGCTGTCCAATACAAATTGTTTACTTTCCCCATTTTGCTATTGAGTACATAGGAATCCGCGGTCACATCATATAAATTGTCAACCTCCAATTTGAAAGAAACGTATGTTGTTATAGATTCAGCTACTCGGAACAAGCTCCAAGTAGCACGGGCTGTGGTGAGTCCGTAGTGGACTAATCTGGCACAGGAGCGGGGCAAGTAGCACGGGTTATGGTGAGCCCGTAGTGGACTTACCTGGCACAGGAGCGGGGCAAGTAGCACGGGTTATGGTGAGCCCGTAGTGGACTTACCTGGCACAGGAGCGGGGCAAGTAGCACGGGCTATGGTGAGCCCGTAGTGGACTTACCTGGCACAGGAGCGGGGCAAGTAGCACGGGCTATGGTGAGCCCGTAGTGGACTTACCTGGCACAGGAGCGGGGCAAGTAACACGGGCTATGGTGAGCCCGTA